TGTTTTATTCAATTCCACATGTAAGGGAAACCATATGGTACATTTTAAAATGATCAAAAGCATTTCTTATTTTAAGTGACTAACTAGTCTTGTAAGTTCTATACTAACCTGTATCACATGTTAAACGACAAAATACCTTTAGTTGACAAAGGTTTCTAACATGTAAGGTTTAAGTAAAAGGAATCTCTATTGCTCCTCCATCAAATAACAGTATCTCTGAGGAGTCTCCAACTGGTGTCCTGTCAACCCTGCAAGTGTGAAGAAGGGTCACCCCAAAAAGTCTATACACACACACTGTATGAAGGCTAAGGAATGTCTCTAATGTTTTAAACAAGTTTGTTTAATTAATGAATACCATTGTGATTAATCAAAAATAATTTACTTAAAAGCATTACTAAATGGATAACAGTTTTTCGTCATTATGTATTTCTTCAGTCAAAAGACGCCAAAAAATAAAAACTATTACCCTAGGTCTTTCCAAAGGAACTGAATAAAAGTAAATTAACATTGATCAGTTTCAATCTAGCAAACTAGTGACGACCAAATAAACGCTAAGGACTCGTGCTAGCTGTTGCAGGTAAACAGGCATTCTTACAACTGGGAGAGAATTGGGTGCATTCCATGTAGGAAGCCAAATCTGGGAGTGTATGTCAAGACTTTAAAAGGCACGTACATTTTTTATGCCAGGGATTTCGCTTCTAAAAATATAACCTAAGGCAACAAAATGGGCCCTGTGACTTCACTCAAGAATGTTTATCTCCAAGTTGTCTGCTGGGACGAAAATACTAGGAACGGTAGAGATTGGCTAAGTCGCACGCACGGCCTGTATGTAGTTACCAATGTTTGGCCAGTTAAATAAAATGTAGTTTCAACACAGGTGAGAGCATTTGAGACAAACAAGTTCACGGTGTCTTCCAGGTGTCCGCATAACTCAATCCCTCACCTCCTTCAGGCGCTCATTTAAATGCCACCATCTCACTGAGAACTTCTGGCCATGCTCTAAAACTCCAACCCACCACACACACACACTCGCAAGAGCACACACACACGCGTGAGCACACATGCACGTGCGCGCACTATGCCCCTTCCCTGTTTTCTCTTTCATACATGTCACCATCCAAACCACACATTTCACCCATCTCCCTTGTTTGCTGTCACTGGAACGTAAGCTCCATATTGGCAGGCGTCGTGTGTGTTTTGTTCACTGCTGATTCTTCAGCACCCACAACACACCCGGCATGCAGAAGGCAGTCACTCAATATCTGCTAAATTAATAACATATAATTGAAAAAGCAGGTTAAATCACGTCACATTTACATACGATCTTATTTTTGTGTTTCTCTCTTAACAGAAAAAGTGAACACATATACAAAGAGGTCAGGAAGGGGAGACAGCAGGTGTTAACTGGTAACACACGTGACTCCCAGGGTTACACGGTTACTAGGGGTTTTGGTGGCAGTTGCCTTTAAAAGGGGGCTGGAGGGATTGAACTCCGTGTATTTTCTAATATTTCATATACTGAGTATGTAATAAACTGGGGGGGGGAGTGTTGTTTAAATTTCAAAACTGAGAATCCCATCCACAGTTTCAGAGCACAATCCTTTCGGCTAGAACAGTGGCTTCAAAGGCATTCACAGTATCCTAGGGCACCAGGTCTTCCGAGATCTAGGGGCACAGCCTGCAGAAAGCCCAAAACTTCTTTGAAGCCTATTATTTGATCTTAAAGTTCAATGTGAATGTTGTATTCTACTAGATGACTTATCTGTGTTTATCATATTATAAAAACGGATGATATTACTTGCCAGTTCAATTATTGAACATTTTCCCCCAAAGCCGCGGCACTCCCTGTCCATGTGGGGAAGATGCCGCACGCGTTCTCTGCCCGCTGGCACCTCTCCACGAGAACCGCCTGTTTGTTGGTTTTTTCCACAATTAAAACAGGTCTCATAAGCCCTTCATATACAGATTAGAAGATGAAGGCGCTAACCAGGGAATCACATGACTTGTTTAAAGTCCCAAGCTGGAGGCCAAGAGCTGAGAGACCCTCGCCGGCTGCCTGCCTTCCAGAGCCTTGTACCATATTACTATATTACACATCTCGTCGGCACAGCTTGGGGGCTACTGAAAGCACATCTCCATCAACTAAAGGCCATTGGTGAGGGCCACCCAAGTAACACATCAGTAAGTTCCATGCCTGTCCTCATGTCGCTCTTTATGTCCACCAAGTGCACATTTAGCTGATATAATTGGTAAGATAACATTTAGTTTAAAAGTATTTTTTTTCAAGCGACACATTTTGCCTGATAGCTCTAAGTTCAATATTTTAAAAATCTACTTCCTGGGCCTGACTTTTAATACATGCTAAATCAAAGAAATTAGGCTAAGTAGAAATTAAGCTAACTTGATGATGCTTTCTGCTATATTTCTTAGTTTGTATTTATTCATATTTTCTGCTAAAAAGGGAACCACTGATTCCGTATTAAAATCTAGTTTTTCTGCATTGAGACATTAAAAATTACCTCCTACTGAGACCATAATCAATCATTCCTAGCACCTGACTTTCCTCTACCAAAAAGATGTATTATATATACCACCAAAACAGGCTGGCACACAGGCTCCCATGCCAGCCATAAGGCCAGGCCCTCTAATTACATCATTTCACCGGGAAGTTCAGGTAACTTTCGAAGTAACAGAAAATTCATCAGATGAAAATCACGCTGCTTCCCACTAACGGAGTATGATGTATAAGGGCTGATTTTAGTCACAGTGGCGAATTGGTTTCAAGTTCCCTATTTGAATTTCAGTCTTTCTCTCCTACGTAACAGAATTTTTGCAGGCACCGTCACCATTTTATTTGTCACACGCTTGCAGTATGTCTAGCCTTACAGATATTCACTCAAGAGCTGGCATCATAACACCAAGGGACAGGACCTGCCTCTGAAACCAGGGTAAGTGAGGCACTGGCAGCCTAGAAGGGACATGGGACGTAGTCCTGGAGAGTCCAGAAAACAAACAAAACAAAAAAATAGTAAGTCATCTGGTCTATCAGAAGGCGTGACATGCATGGCCTTCGACAGCTAAAACTCAAGGAGGCTCACAAGCAAAAAGAAGATCCTCAGGAAGGCGGGCCTCGGCGCCCTCCGCCACCTGGCGACCCAGCCGGGACGACGGGCCCAGGGCTAGGAGCACTCGCGGTAACGGGCCTGAACGAGGTGCCACGGGGCACGCAGCTACTCCGACACGCGGGCCACTCGCTCTGCGAGAGGAGCCGCTGCCCCTGAGCTGAAGCGAACGATCTTTCCGGAAGGCGGCGGCGGCGGCCCCTGCTCCCCGCCCCTCCCCGTCTCACTCCTCCAAGTCGCTTTCTCTCTCTCGCCGTTGAAGAGGACCCCCTTTCCGTTCCGGGGTTCCCCGGAAGCAGCGGAGGCGGCAAGACCACCACCGGCCCCAGCGCTGGACCAGGAAGGCAGGCGGAGCAGGACCGGGAGGCGAGCGCCCAGGAGAGGCGGCCCCGAGTTCGCCCCGCAGCGCAGGCTCGGCCTCGAGTCGCGTGCGGGGCGCGCCGCCCAGGAGGGGGCGCTGCTGAGGGTGCTGTGTGCTCCGCCCACGAGGCGCGGGCGGCAGAGAAAACGCACAACGTTCTGATGAGCAGGTTCTGCTGCTGTAAGTTCTCAAGTCATTAAAAACACGAAAGGCGACTCCTGGTCTCAGAATAAGGAAGCAACTTTGGGGACGCGCGCCGACAGGAGGCGCCGGGTCGAGACCTGCAGGGAACCGGAGACGCGCCCCCGTCTCCGCGGGCGGAGCTCCTTCGGGCGGCGGAGGCTCCGCGAGGCGCTGCTCCGGGGTCGAGGGGCTTAGCGCGCTCGCATCCCCCTCAGCGCCTATTAACCGGCCGAACGGAAGGAGAGGGGCCGTCTCCCCGAGAAGCCCCTCGGCTTGTGTGACGTGGGGGAGCCCCACGTTTCCAGGTCGAAGAGACTTCCTCCCGCCGTTCTCCCAGACCTTTCCCCACACTCGAAAGCGCCGCGAGCGACACGCCGGAGCGGGACCAAGGGACCTAACGGGAACAGGACGGGAGGAGTGAGGGGCTTCCCTCGCGGGGGGCTCCCCAGCCACGCACCCCTGCCGGGCGGACCCCACCCGCGGACCCCCGACCTTCACCTGAACCCGCCGCGCCCGGGGGCCGCGCCGACGCCGCCCAGCGGCAGGCGCAGCGCCTGGAGGCCGAGCCAGTGCTGCAGCAGGAGCCGGCCGCGTCCAGTCGCCATGGAGACCCGGCGGGAGAGCCGGGGCGTGCGAGGTCTGGAGGAAGAGGCGTGCCGCGCCAAGCCACGCCCACCGACGCTCCGCGACACGCGTGCGCAGAAGCGGGGGGAGGGGGGCAGCGGGGGGTCTGGGCCCTCAGATAACACAGCCTTTCCACACGCTGCGTGAGCGGTTCTGGAAACTTCCGGGGCCCGAGTTTTTATCACGCCAGCCGTGGAGAGTGCTGCGCTGCAGGTTAGCAGCGGAGTTTGTCACAGCCCCGTGGGCGCTGTGGTGGCCTCGCCTCCCCGCACGAGCTGGCTCTAGAGTAGTTCGCACTACTTGGTCTCATTTCCTTGGAAAGAAACTGAAACAAAAAGGCTCCATCATTTGCCCATAGGAATGGCAGAGCCACAATCAGGCCCCGGAATGTCCCAGTCTACACAGCCCTCTCCAGAGGGCCGCAAGAACACGCGCTTTGCGATTGCTAATTTGACTTTTGCAAATTCTTCTTGAATTACTTGGCGCCTCAGGCGCAAACCACACCCACAACACACGCCACGACCTTCCTGACAACTATGTGCAGCGCATGCGCAAGAGGTCCGCGCAGGGTTGTCTGGGAGGCGGCGCGCGCTGTGGCCGCCTTGCACTATGGGAAATGTAGTCCTTATGCTTTTCCCCGCTGCAGCAATTTTTGGACAAGTGAGGTCCTCAAACTACTATTACCAGGACTCTTAGGGGTTTCCCAAGTTACTTTGCAAAGGTATGGCGGGGAGAGTGTGAATGTCAGCATAGAAGGCCGTCAAGATACTTTGCTTCGTGTGGAAAGAGGATCTAAGAGAAGGAGAGGTGGACTTCTTTCGGGAGACTTGCCCTCTTATCTGCTGAAGCTAACGTTTTTGCCGAACACGCCGTGCAGAATTACCGGAGTGAATGTGTACACTTGAGTGCACGTCCGGCTGGGTGTGCAGTGAGTAGTGAAGCTTTGCTAATTGTAGTTGGCATTGTCCCTCCGCGGAGCGGTTTTCTGTGAACATGATTTGTACTTTCCTACGAGCTGTACAATATACGGAAAAGCTGCACAGGTCCTCGGGCAAGCGATTGTTTTTGCCACACTTTGTACGTAACAAATCTTGCTTGAAGACTGAGCCCGGTTTGAGATGGTTGCACGAGCAGAAAACAACGCTGCGACCTACCTGTATCCTTGGAGTCACCCCGAAAACCATCTGGACGCAGGGACAGAGCCCACAGAGAGCAAAGGAAGACAGCAGCAAACAAGTATCTGTGCACAGTCAGAGTGGGGAAACCGCCATCTCAACGGCACAGAAAGGTAAAGGGGAATTCCCCAGTAACGATCAGTCTTGCAACAAACGTGACAAGAGTTGCCAGTGCCGTTTATAGAAAGTCAGTGCTAAAGATGGAAAGAAAATGCACTCAAAGATAGAACCGCTCAACATAGTTTAGGATCAGAATATAGGCCTACAATTCTCTAAATAGATTTGAACTCAGGTTTGAAAGTTGATTTTCATAAAGCTTTGTTGAATTATGTCTAGAAAATTTTTCTCAACTTTTATTAGTTCTGGTGCGGAAACAACTATATAAAAATTAACAATTGTTTAATACCTTATAATAGACAAGTAGATTGCCAAGATGTTATTTCATCTATTTGAATCTCACATTCACTCTTTATTTATTTATTTATTTTTAATTGGGGAATTGGGGGGATGGGAACAGTACTGGGGAATTGGGGGAAGGGGAACAGACAAGTTGCTGTCCTTTTGTTCTTCAGTCTAGTTGTGGAGGACGTTGCTTCACTGGCCCAAGTTGGCACCATCATTGCGCTCTTCCCTGGTGAGGCAGATCAGTCGCCGGCTTCTGGACGGCCGCTCACTGCGGCAGCTGGCCGCTCACGCTGGCTGCTGGCCGCTCACGCTGGCTGCTGGCCGCTCACGGTAGCCCATGGCAACCCACTGCCACAGGGACTGCAGCCTACGCCGTCGCCAGCGACTCACGGCAGCCCAGCTCCAGGTTGAGCTGTTGTTCAGCATCTTAGCTGTAGAGGGCAGTGTCACTGGCCCTCATATGCAGGATCCGAACCGGGGCCCTCTGGCATCCCAAGCGAGTTCTTAACCATCGCGCCACTCGGCCGGCCCTCACATTCACTCTTTAAAACATTAGTGCTCCAATGTATGAGGCATACTTCCCCAGCTTCACACAACTGAAAATTAAACGCAAATTTCCCTCATCTCAGTTTTCTAATATCCAGGCCAGTGCTTTCTAGGACAACCACATTCACAAGTATTTCTTGAGCTTCCATTTTCTCTATGCTTAGGACTTGAACAGATGCTAATGGGTGTGACAAAGAAACCCTAAACACAAATAGTTGCCCACTTAACTGGGAAGAAAAAAGATACAGAGTGAAACAAACAGTGAAAAAAGATTAGTTGTGCAACAAAGAAAGAGTACTAGAGAGCATATGATAAAGAGTAATTGGATAGAATAAATAGAAAAGAGACTATTGGAGTCATCATAGGAGTTAACTCATGTAGTTGAACACAAACACTTCTCCTGAGTGGTTGCTGATGTGCCCAGAGACCAAGTTGGAGTCTATAGTCTATATACTACGCAGTTAAAGATGTCCAAAACACCCCTTCATGTGGCACGGGCGTCGTAGAAACAACTATAAAGGATTTCACTATAAAATAGGAAAGGTGAAATGTAATTTTGTCAGGGAAAGTCAGAAATTTTCACAGATGAGATAAAGCATTTTGATTTATTCTTCATTTCACAAATAATCTGTAGAAAAGAATAAGTAAAAAGGAAGCAAAGAAAGCGATTCAGACAGCTATGATTATACCACGCAAAGATGACTTACTTTTTTATTTAACAATTTTATTGGGGAATTGGGGGATGGGAAACAGCACTGGGGAATCGGGGGGAGGGGAACAGACAAGCTGCTGCCCTTTTGTTCTTCAGTCTAGTTGTGGAGGACGTTGCTTCACTGGCCCATGTTGGTATTATCATTGCGCTCTTCCCGGCTGAGGCAGATCTGTCGCCGGGCCCTGGACAGCTGCTCACAGCAGCTCACGCTGGCTGCCAGCCACTCATGATAGCTTATGGTAGCCCACTGCAGCCCCACTGCAGCCTACACCGTCGCCTCACAGCAGCCCAGCTCTAGGTCGAGCTGTTGTTCAGCATCTTAGCTGTAGAGGACGCAGCATCACTGGCCCTCATGTAGGATCCGAACCGGGGCCCTGCTGCTCAGAGCTGGCATCCCAAGCCAGCTCTTAACCAACACGCCACTTGGCCGGTCCAAAGATGACTATTCTTAATATTTTGTTTTTTGTCATTTTGATGCACATAACTTTTTAACAATTTTAACAACAAAAAATGTAATTGTATCTTACCAGTGGTTTTTGCAATCTGCTTACTATGTCAACTATATACCCTAGTTTTTCATCCCTAATAGCCTGGACAGGGTTGGGAGGGATATTTAGAAGTTCAGCGCAAACAAACACCCTGTATGCAGAGGTCAGAGGCACAGAGGTGTCAAGCAGCATGTGTCAGGTGGTCTGGTCCAGCAACGGCGCTGCGTGCAATGCGGCAGGGCTGGCCACTGAGCCCTGTCTTATCTGGGCCCCATTCAAGGGTGAATGGGTGGTATCAGCTAAGACTATGTCTGTCCATTTTTGTTATAAACGCTTAATATTGAATTTAACAGCTTTGGATGTTATTGGCAAACAGATCGTTTTTCATTTCAGTTAACTTTAAAACCAAACATTCTGAGCAAATAAAAAACAATACCATTTATTTAAAAAATGTGAATGGGGGCCGGCCGTGTGGCACGTTGGTTAGGAAGTTGGCTTGGGACGCCAGCTCTGAGCAGCAGGGCCCCGTTTCGGATCCCACATGAGGTCCAGTGGCTGCATCCTCTACAGCTAAGATGGTGAACAACTGCTCAACCTGGAGCTGGGCTGCCGTGAGCCGCCAGCAACGGCGTGGGCTGCCGTGAGCGGCCGGCAGCCAGCATGAGCGGCCGTCCATTGGCCGGCGACCGATCTGCCTCTTCCAGGAAGAGCGCAATGATAATACCAAATGGGCCAGTGAAGCGACATCCTCCACAAGTAGACTGAAGAACAAAAGGACAGCAACTGGTCTGTTCCCCTTCCCCAATTCCCCAACGCTGTTCCCTTCCCCAATTGCCCTATAAAATCTTTTTAAAAAAAGTGACTGGCTGGAAGCAGTATCCCCAAATGTGGACTGTTGCCTCCAGAGTCGGAAGAGGCCTATCACGCGGTGGGATGGGACGAACATGATGCAGTGCTTGTCTTTTACGTGGGATGGGGCCCCACATGCCCACACGGTGTACTCCTGAGCTTTGCTAACCTTTGTTGGGCTCGTCCCCCACACTTGGAGTACACGTGACTTGCCAGGCCTCCCGACACATGCGCCCCTTGTTACTGTCTGCTCGAACATGATGGCATCGAGTGGACAGATGTGTTCTGCAGAAAAGCGTTGTCCCAATAAGACCTTGTGCAGTGACAGGAATGACCCAGGTGTGAGCTGTCTCCCTATAGGAGCCACTGGCCCCCTGTGGCGACTGAGCATGTAAAACGGTGCTGATTGGAGAAACTCAAGTTTTCTTTAATTTTAAGTTAACTTAAAGTTAGGTTAATTTTAACATTAAGCTGAAATAGTCATATGTGGCGTGTGCTACTGTATTGGATATCCCAGATCCAGAATGTCCAGGTCACTTAAAACTATGTTATGACAGGGTGGGAGACTTGGCAAATCCTGGGCAAAACCATAAATATACACTGCTGTTATCCGTTTCTTGTTACTGCAAACTAGTATTGTTCCTTCTCAGTGGAAATGGAAAAGAATGCATTCTCCGCATCAGTAGCCAAGTCCATGAGGCTGTGCTCATGAGCTTCTTTAAAGTTACCATCTCTGTAGGGGTTGCTGCTTGGTTGAATTTGAAGTGGCCCCCCATCCTCTGGGTCTGTCTGGTTTCTGTAAGAGAAGCCTGGAGAATCACATGGGAACACGACGGGCCCAGCACCCCTGTAACCTTAAGCCTTGAAGACCAGCACTGTCTCCATCCCCTCTTAGATGGAACGCTGTTTCTGGTTTGGTTCTGGTTCACACGGAGACGTGGGAACAGCTGCTCAGAACACACACAGACCCACCACTCGTTAGGTCCTGCGACCACACCTGACCCACTGCGAATACTGAGGTCCCCTGCTGCGTCCTACCCGTGTGACTCAGTGGCGTTTTCTCTTTACAGTGAAAGACGCTGGAAGAGATTTTTCCTACCTGATAGTGGTGCTTGTTGGAATCACCGTCACAGGTTGAAAACACAGCAAGTATAATCCCCCTGAAGACCGTTTCGCCTCCTGTTTGTCTCACTCCGGCTTTGCTTGATCTGCATTTTCTGTGACTTTCAGGTGGCTTGTTTTATACAATTTTCAAAGAGCTTTTTTCTTCATCCAGTCCTAGCAAGATATATGGGAAAGCCTTAGAAAAGTGCAGGTCACACCCCGAGGTGAGTGGCCAAGACTGAGTTGCACAAACTCTGATATTGGGGAGAAATTATGGGGGAGCCGGGGGAGTGGGCAGAACTCACATGCTGGTTCTGACGGGTGAAGTTTGTGTGACAACACAGAGTGGCCGATCTGTGATTGTGCCATTAGGTCTTTGTCCCAGAGGTCTGTGCCAGGGCGTTTTCTTCCTAGTTGTACAAGAGAGAGTCATTTTACTAGTTGTCAGAGATAATAAATGGACCAGAATGTATCAGAGTGCTAAACCCATATGATAAGTGTCTAGTCTTCTTTTAAAAACCTGATTGGTGACCTTGTGGTCATGATAGTCATTCTTACTGAGAGCAAATTATCAGCCAAGGACTACTCAGTATTTCAGTGCATCGTCTTCACTAAATCTCACAAAAACCATGTGTGACAGGTACTGCCATTATCCCATTTGCATAAGGCAAACTGGCACTTAAGAGGTGGAAATAAATGCGAGTCGTAGCATGATTCAGTGTTAGGCTGCATCTCTGAAAGGATGAAGAGTTGCCACATTCTTCACAAACTCAGCCTTTCCTAGATCTTAAGCATTTTGAACAAAACAAAATACACAGAATAAACACAAAGAGTGGGATATTATTAAAGCCATAGCTTAATTTGCTGCCTAAAAGAGCTTGACAAATAATTAAACTTTAACAACTGAATCTTGTCAACATTCATAAAGGACTTATTCTTTGCCAAGCACTGTGCCTGCTTGAAAATACAAAACCCTAATGTCCTGAGGTGTTTAATCTAGTAAATTATTTGGAAAGGTTTTCCATTTGTTTCAGCCACACAGTCCTTAAATATCCCTCACCTTACACAATTCCTTTTTATTTATGCCTGAAAAATGTGATATTAAAGATGCCCAACACAAAATAAGAAAAATTTTATAGAACGGAGGCAATATTTGTTTTAGCTGATATCAATTTTTTTTTAAAGCTTCCAAAGCATTTGCATTTTAAATTCAATAAAAATTACATTTCCACTTCATTGTGAGTTTTCCCATTGGGAATAATTGATTCCCATCTATGGATCTGGTTTGTTTTAAATAGAACCTTATTACTTTGTTTGTTTTCACTGTGTCTAATGACTTAAAAAATCATTTTCGTCTCATAACTTTTAGTATTCGACCCCATTAGATAAATTTCACCGAAAATGTTCAGACATTTAACTATTTGAACACTTTGTTTTATGTTTGGTTTTGTACGGGGTGTGGGAACAGCTCCATTTCGGCCTACACTGTTCTGTTAAGTACAAGTAACACCATAAGGTTCCCTGTATCAGCCTCTGCCCATGAAATATTTATTTATGGGATGATTTTTGCGTGATAGCTTTTTTTCCCCATCATTGGAGTTGTCATTTTGAAGAGGTCCCAGGTTACTGATTTTTCTAAAATAAGTCACTTGGTTTGTCAGAAAATATTTCCCTAGATTTTTTTAAATGACACTTCCTAAATACTACATTGTCTTTATTCTGCAGGTTATAAGTGTCTTTGGTGAGCCTGTTAAAGGCTACGGAGAGATGACAAGACGTGGTCGAAGGCAGCATGTCAGGTACAGCACGTCCTTGAATTGGGACAGCTCAGGGATCATTTTTAGATGAAAGGAATTTAGGCCTGTGTTCTTTCATTTTCTTGACAGTTTTATTGAATATGTAAAAGACGGGCTGAAACACATGCGTGTGAAATTCTACATCGAGGGCTCCGAGCCCGGGAAGCAAGGCACAGTGCACCTTGAAGTGAAAGAGGTGTGAGGACCGTGGGGGGAGACGCCATCCTGAGTGCCCCGTTACGGAAAGCACTGGAAAGAAAAGTGACACCTGGAAATTCTTTTTTCTTTTTCAGAACCCAGAAAGTGGCGAATATGAGTTTCGATATATATTTGTAGAACTTGAAGCCTATCCTAGGAGGACTATTGTCATTGAAGATAATCGAACCTAAGAGAAGTAGAAGAGCCAGCAAGCATGCTGTGAACTGAGGGATGGATGGTGCAGACAGACGCTCAGCTCTGGTCTTCACGGCTCTCCCAGAGGCGATTTGGAATAAGACAGGAAAGGTAGCGCTCATAAAAGCGAGTGGAACTGGGTGGTTGCTGCATCTAGGCAGACGGCGTTAGAGATGATTCCTTGTAGAGCGAAAAATCATGAAATAGAGAATATTTTATGTTATCTTATTGAATCACCGATCAAGGGCAGTATTTCTGCTCTACTAACATCCTCTTTCATGGTAAGAAATTTTTGTTAAAAATTTCACACCATGTAAGTAAGAAACTAGAGTTCGGTGTTTTGTGCTTTTTTTATGTTCTATCGCTGTATAAAATAAAGACTAGCAGAAAGATGTCACAAGCAGCTTCCTTCCGTATACTTTGGGATCTGACTTGAGAACTGCAGGGAACCAGATGATAAACACACGCCCTTCAAACGGCCATAGAAGGTGCACACTGTAAGTTTCAGTCATCTGGTCTAGCTCCGGTTTCCCGTGAATTGGGGGTGTCGTACGCAGTGGGAACAGTGGGCGCTCCGAAGTCGATGGACCTGCCCGGCTCTTCCCCGGTGCATGGGCCTGTACAGGGACCTTTTCCTCGTCCAGCCTCGCTGTCCTGCTCGTAAGGCCCCGTGCAGTGTCCCCTCCCCCTTAGAACTTGTGCTAATACTTGACTCTGCCAAAAGAAGCGTGGAAGCGATTGAGTGTCGTTTGAGTTTCTGTAATGCCCTTTGTGGATGTGGACCCTCTATTTTATCTGACATCTTTACAGGGCATTTGGAGAAAAATAACTTTAACTTAAAAAAGTGTGATTGCTATCTGTATGAAGTGCTATGTGTGCTGGGAAAGCTCTAAAAATGTCCTTATCTATGGTGGCTTCAGCGTGGAGGTGTTCCCTAGAAAATGCTTCCCCGTCAGAACTGTCTGTAGAGCAATTTCTGAGGTGTACTTGAAATTGTAGGATATTTGGAATAGACTGACCCCCAGGCAAGCTACCTCCCCTTTTTAGTCCATCTCCCTGCTGAATTATGAAAAAATCTCAATCATTTAGGAAGTACAGAAAATACCACAGGAGACATCCTTGTCTCCTGATGTAACACATTTTATGAGACTGGATGAACTCTCAACTTAGGCTTTGTCTCCTAACCGTTTCCTCCTCTCCTTGCCGGTAGAAGGTCCGTTTTCAGTATCATGGTCCTTGTCTGAAATATCAGCATTCCACAGGGTGAGATCTCCCCCACTCTTGCTTGCTCTCCCCCACTCAGAGCAGCAGCCCTTCTCTCAAGACCTGTTCAGGCCACAGCTTGACAGAAACGGGCCTCTGAGCAGCTCGGGCGTCAGCCTGCCTCCTGACCCTATTTCTATGGTACAGGGCTGGTTTTTTTCTATATTCTTCTTTGTGTACCTCCCACTTTATGAAATTCCCATGCCCCTTTTAGATATGAGCTTATCAAGTTACTTTTATAATCAGAAGTAAAACTTTCAGAAGGAAAAATCTCTGTACTCAGGTTCTTCTGTATAACCATGGAAAAATCTAGTAATGCAATTTTTAGACACATTTGTTTTCTTTCCTTGTGATAATTTGATACTGCTTTTTAAAATCTTTTTTTAAAAGAGCTACTTTTAATCAACTTTGGCATCTCTTATTCTAATCCTGGCAATCTGTCCATGGCCTTACTCCCATCTTCGAAATCTTTTCTGAAATCTAGAGTCCATACCTGACTATGCTAATGCGTAGTGCCCCCTTCTGTCATTTATATGAATTTGGAAAGGACACAGTCATTTTCTTCCAAGGCTTTTGTTAACGTCTTCATCCCCAAATAGTGAACCCTTTTGTCAGAATTAAGTCTAGAGCAGCATTTCCTCCCTGCCTCCTTAATGAAGAAATTGTTGGTAAGACAAGTCAAGAATTTGCCAGAGGTTCTGCTTTTAGTAGAGATTTCCAGCATATCTACCTCCTGCCACAACTTTTTGATCAGTGCTGGTAACCATGTCCTTCCATTTACTGAACGACAATGATCACGTCCATGTCCCTTATTCTCCAGATATGGTTTCCCAACTCCTACCTCATGGATTTCCACTTAGTCATACTCAATATGTTACTACTTAATGTCCTTACTACAGTATTAATGTGTTCCATCTGTTAGATTTCATTCATTCAATACATATTTGAGGATATGCTGTACATCAGACCCTATGCTACTTGCAATGAACCCTAAAACAAAAAGAAACCACCCCTGTCCTCGGGGGACGTCAAGTTGGTAAAATACTGAATGTGGTTGCTCGTTGGTCTGACGTGGGCCTTGGGCAGTGAGTCGGCGGGGGCAGTCAGGTTCTGAGGAGGCGCCATTAAAGATGAGGTTGGTGGGTGGTTATGAGTTTACCAAGGAGAGGACACTCCCAGCCAAAGGACGAGCACTAGATAATTGGTGTGGAATACAATGGGGTGGCAGGGGAAGGAGGGGGGCGTGCAGCTGCAGACCCAGCCCTCGCCAGGGAACCCTTCTCTGCTCTGGCGGACACTGGAACCTGTTAGATTCTCCTTACTTGAAAAAAGTTGAAAATGTGTACTACATGGTGCATTTATTCAGGACTTTCTCCTGCAGCTGATTACCATAGAAAACCTCTTTCACGCACTGGGGCCAATCACATACATAAGAACAAAAAACTATCAAGTGTGGCAGGAGTTTGATAAAAAATACTATGGTATACAATTTCATTAGCATGTGCTATGGCCTTAATGGTGGTGTCCCTCCAAAATTCTTATTAAAATCCTACCCCCCAAGCTAGTGGAGTTAGGAAGTGGGACCTTTGTGGATGATGAGGTGGTGAGGGTGCAGCGCTCATGAGTGGGATTAGTGTCCCAGTGACTGAGACCCCAGAGAGCTCCCTGTTCCCTTCTGCCACGTGAGGACACAGCGAGGAGAAGTCTGCAGCCTGAAAGGGCCCTCACCTGACCGCCCTGATCTCAGACTTGCAGTCTGCAGGCTGAGAAGCGAAGTTCTGTGGTAAGAATTTTGCTATAGCAGCCAGAGCAGATGAAGACACCACAGACCTGTTCGAATGGAGGGAAATTTTCTGATAATGCATGTATTTCATGGCGCTGTGCAAAGCAGGGACTGCGTGTATTTAGGCAACGTGAGGGGAAAGGGACCACGGATAGCTACACGCGTCAGCACCAAGGACGCTCAAGTACTCCGAGCAAAAGGCAAAATAACAAGTGCATTTTGACATCATACACACAAAGTCCAGAAATGAGCAAAAGTAAATATATAGAGATACATAAATATAGATATAGACGTGGATATAGACATTAGTTGGAGATACATACACGTGTGGCCAACTCCATGAAGAAACACGAGGAAAGATAAGTCCACATCCTGGAGAGAGACACTGATGGCAGACGGGTGGGGTGAGCTTCGCGGGGCGGGTCCCAGGCAAGGTCAGTGGAAAGGCGGGGTTCATGCCCTGATTGTTCATGCCTTTATTAGACCTCACGCCTTGCACTACACGCGGGCCGAGGTACCCAGACGGTAATGAAGCTTACGTTCAGGCTCCCTCTCTTTCCCAGACCCCGGGGCCGGCCGAGTGGCTCAGTTGGTTAAGAGCTCGCTCATGAGTTTGAGCTCTGAGCAACAGCGGTTCGAGTCCAGCCCGAGCTGAGCAGCCGCTGAGCTGCCAATAGGTAGCAGGATGGCTCAGCTAAAAAAAAAAAAAATCTTTCCCAGACCCCAAAGGCCAGCACCTAATTCTGTATTCTTAATTTTCTATTCCCTTTTTCACAGAAGACTCCAAAAACTGCCTAAGCCCTCGGGGTCCTCAAAGCCTGGACCCACCCTGCATACAGTGATCACTTTTATCCAAGCCAAGTCCCCTGAATTTTAGAACGGGAAAACCAGGCCACTTACCCTGCCGGGCTTGTGTTCCGGGCCTGAGTGTGTCCTTTGGCCTCTCAGCCTTGGGCTTCATTTAGCTTGCTACACTGAATTCTTATCTCCCCAAACTCTGTGCATTAGTAGATAGATACTATATGAACACCTTGTTTTTTGTTCTCCACTATAATATCCTTATGTTTGTTTCTCTCCCTGATGTTGATTTTATCCTCAATTATAGCTAATTTTACAATTTTGGCTGCCCAGTTTTCCCTCCTTGCTCAAGTCAGTGTTTAATCCATGTCCCACTCCGTACCCCCCGCCATGTTAGGTGCTCCTAGCGGCTGTCAGCTGGGGAGTTACAGTCATCTCCTCAATCAGGCCTCTGCCCCTGTTTCTCGCCAGGGAATCCTTCCTGCTCACAGCACAAGCGCAGCTTTCTAAAACTCGGATCTGACTGCTCTGAACCTACCTACAGCCTTCGGGGACCCCCAGCTACCCTAAAAAGTTGAATCCCATCAGCAGAGCCCTGATTACAGCATCACCTCCCAGTGGTCTGCCTCAGTTTCCCCTCCCCAAACCGTGGCCCAGCCTCTCTGGGCAACGTCAGACCCCATGAGCTCATGCCTTCGTACCCTGATGTTCTACCTTTCCACTCATGGGTCCTGAAGACTTTCACGTGTCTTTTGCTAGCAAACATTCTCAGCTACTTGGAGTTGTCTTGAGACTTAACATCAGGCCACTTGCACACTCCTTTCTCACCAAGTCGGTTGTGGAAGTTACAGTTTTGTTGGGTAAGGTTTCTCCTTCCCTCGGTGGCCTTTTCAAAAGCCTCCTACAGAATTCCATAAAATTCCACATAAAAAGCGGGGCCACAAGACCTTTATGGCTCGTAAGTATTGACAGTTACAGGTCACAGAAACTGCCAGCCAGCGCCCCCACAGCTCCTGGCTCCTTATTGGCAAAGCCGAAAGCTTACCAGACATTATCTCCTCCGCTCCTCGCAGCCACGTGGGGCAGACCACGGGCTCCACTTTACCAGTGGGGAACGTGAGGCTTTATTCGTCCTTGGGAACCAGAAACAGGATTTCTCACTCATGCATTCAATCTTCTAGGGCCTTTTAACACCTCCTGGGTCCACCTGACAAGGCACAAGAGCAAGGGGTCGCTACGCACTAGGGGACTAGAGCTGGACTCTTCTGATTCCCATCTGGGCTCAACTCCCACCGCGCCTCCCAAGCCCTCACCATATTACAGATGCATGTGAACAATATGCCCCCAAAACCGAGGGAGAACCACTAAGGAAATAGCTTGTTCCTTCCTGCTCACTGTTGTCCCCACAGAGCTGGTAAACGCTGGACTCCTCACATACAGAAGTCACAGTGTGTGCACACAGCCGGGGCTGAATCGTAGCCCCTTCCCCTGAAACCCAGTGTGACCAGGTCCGCGGCTGTGCTAGCTCAAGGCTGAACCCAATCATCCAGGATGCA